AGCAAATATACACATCTGATGTCCCTTTAGCTTACATGTAACCAAGTTGATATCATCTCTCATTGCCTCTGAGTTTAAATAAGATAATATAATAATAACTAAGAAAGTGTCACCCAATTTTGTCGCATACAGTGTGTTATAATACTTGTATTGACAGAGGTAGTACTTCCAGATCTGATAAAAGTCAGTAGTGGAATGATTAGTCGCTACTGTTTTGTTTGAGTGTAAATAATTTAAAAAATGAATTCACACTTCTTTCATTAAATAGTTCTAAATTTAAGTTTGTTTTTACAAGGCGAACTAGAAGGCACAATAAATTAAAGTTATCTGTCAAACACGAAGGTACTACCTCAGAGTTGTCACTTATCCACCTACCGAAGTGAAATGAAATGTTGTAACTATTTAACCTATGTAATCCTACGTTGAACTCGCAAATTATTATTCTAACTCAGTTTAACTCAGTACCCAGGTTATCCCCCTTAGTACTCTTGGATGTCCGACAGAATTTTACCAGGAGGATCAGCTGGAGATTTGGCAGAGGTCATGTACAAAACGATATCATTCGGTGATAACGGAGTTTTGTCTTCACTCCATTAGCTTACGTAGTCATCCATGACCACAACGAAGTGTGGTGGTGATGAATATACAGTGACCAACCTTCTAAGTTGAAGATGTAATTTGATTGACTGACAATTTTGTCTAGGTTCAGTGTTGCTTTGGTGGCAATGGACACTTTTACTTTCCATATAAGCAGCAGGATAGCGTTGCATCATATACGTTCTTAGCTATCTTTCGTTGCAAATTGTTGTATTTGAGTAAATTCTGTTTTTCTGTGCAAATTTTCCAATTTTTTCCACTACACCAAGTTTCTATAGTTTCCCTGAGGATAATATATTTCCAAACAAATAATCCGTCAAATAAAATGGTATTTATACAAGAACAGTCCGCATAGCTATTTTAAAATAAAGTCACAGTTTTTAGAATCTCTCAATTTTACGTGGATTTACTCCCGACTGTCAGTTGCACGTCGAAACGCTACGTCTAATAGCTCACCAACTGTCATATTGACGATACGGATCATGCAAATATTATTTGTATTCATCTTTGCGCAGTCTTATCCCCTATACTTTTATGTTCAATATACCTTATAAAATTTCAAACTAACTGAGTAGCCCAACACATTGTAAACTGTATCGCTAGTAACAAATTGATCTTGCCTGTAAACTGGCATTCCTCATATAACAGAACTAAATTTGAGAATAAATTATTACTAGTGTAACTATTTAGCATCGATTTGTCGTTAACGTTTGCACAGTCACTCCGTTAGAATGAGGGAGCGAAACTGAAAGTATATTTATCTGAGTAAATACATCAATAGAGTTTGTAAATACGGTATGACGTGTAGCCATTCGCCTCGATAACATTTTCTCAATGTTATCCTCACTGGAGTGACCCTTTTTAGTTCGAACGTTTTTAGGAAAACTTCTTAGAGTATCCACGATTCTAATGTAAGCTATTGCTTAACGGGGTTTCGTACCTAGTCGTAATGGATCAGCGATAACTTCAGGTAGGTACACAAGTATGCTTAACCACAAAGGGAGTCATATTGGCAAATTATAATATAATACTGTCCTGGAAGATCTGATAAGTCACTAAGACCACACTAGCCAGCAGCGAATTCCAGAAGTTTACTACTTGTAAAGAGTAAAATATATGCCTACAGCCAGTCTATCATGTTACGTCTCTATATTCCAGGTGTAAGCGATAAGGTTTATGTTTCGACTGAGCTTAAGTAAATATTATAGGGATTGCTTAGGAGTGTTCAGCATACTATTATTCATTGATTAATCTCATTTGTTTCTCCATTTTTAATCTTCTCTTTATTACATATCGAATGTAAATCTTAGTAATCACATATATAGCCTCATAGACAGTGTGGTTAGGAACTAATACCACCATATTTCGCCATTGGATACGTTTTCGTTTATTCTTGTCCTTTTGTAAGGAGAGAAAAACACTTCCGTTTCCATACTTCAAATATGGTCGAACAAAACTATTGAAGATTGGATTGAAAATTCTACAATGAAACTGGCCAAAAATGCGTTTCAACGTTACTAGTGCGAGATTTGCTTGAAGTGTGCTTTTATCGCAGGTGACGCATAACTTCAGACCATAGGGTACCAATTCTCCAAAATGTTTTTCAAATTGAGGTATCTCAAGTGAAGATTTCACCACGTTTTACGCGTAGTCTGCAACTTGTCTGAGACAGGTTTCCTTACGTTTCGAATAGTTGAAATCAAGTTCATTGTTTTCCGCTGAACTTTGAAGTCAAGTCAGATCCCCTTCAAGTGCCAGCTTATCATCTTGGTTGCAAACTTCTCTCCAAAGCTTCAAATCTTCAGAAAAAAGTAACGGATATTTTCTATGAAAGATTATTCATATGGATTAAGATAAGAATCAGAATTTTATGGTTGTCAATTGGGAATTCTTCAGTTGTAAATGTGAAGTCTAGGGATGACAGCTTTTAAATGTTTCTCAACCGAGTTTCTAGCTTCACGCTTTCGATCAGTTCCAGATCTTCAGCAAAATCGAGTGACCGAGATTCAGTGGGTTGTCGCCATCAGTTAACGTATGTTCAGCAAAATTCACTTTCAGGGGATTGAAGTCTTTCAGAATCAGGTAATGAGTGTAATCAAGACGAATATAGCTGGATAGTCCTCCAGCTTACAATTGTTGTCCGCAGCGGGCTTTCTGTAGATGACTTCAAATAGACAATTTAAGGTGTTGGAAAACCTTATTGAGCGCCGTAAAGACTGCTCAAGATTGATAAACTCTTGGGTGTTAACTTGATCCTAGTTACAGAGATGCTCTGTTCCCCCATTCCTGTTCTTCTGTCGTTGCAGGACAAATTTATGCCAGGTATTGCAATATCCTGGTTCGTAAAATGAGTTTTCTAGGTTCTAAATATTTTTATAAAAATGAGTACAATTAGCGCAACTAAATTTACGCTACTCATCTATTTTTTTGAAAAACTCGTAGTGTTCTATTGTAGGTAATAGATGCTCTCGATTTAAAAAGCGTGAGCAATCTCGTTCCACTTGTCTGAATGGACCTCACATGAATGGACATGCGACTTACCAACAAAGTGTTTCCCGAGTGAGCAAACCCTATCTGTTCTACGCCTTTTCCTGTCTGTAACTGAAATAATCGGCTTCAGTTTGCTCTGTTGTATATAGAACACAGTTGTTAACTGGTGTCTGTTGATAAAAAATGGTTCGAGAGTGACGGCCAACATTTTGGCGGATGGAAAAGTCATCTTTATTAGTAAGGTGATAAAATCCTCATCTTTCATGGCTAATCGTACTACTTGCTGAGTAAATATGTTCTTAAGCTTTGAGAACTGCCTAAAGAACTTTCATTTTAAAATATCGTAATCTGCATAACCTGGGTTCTTTTTTTCTTGGAAACCCTGCACAAATATATCTCTTCCACGAAAGAACGTTTATTGAGATGCCTCTAGGATTTTCATGATGACACTATGCTCAGAATACGGTGTATCAGGTAGTATCTTCACATTCGCGTCTGATTTCAGCATTTGATTGGGCAGCAAAACATCCTTCATGTCATCGATGTTAGAGAACATCAAGTTTTGATATCCGTCCTCCAAAATGGCGTGTAGCCGTTAGCGGCTCGATCTTTGGAACTTTGAGCTTTCTGTCCAAATTCTCAAAGCGTCTGGTCATTATCGTCCTACGGACCTGTAGGAAGGTCAGAGCTGTCTCCAAATTTCATGATTATCAAAGAATCACCTCGAACTGTAACCACTTTTTCAAGTTTTTGGGTACGATTAAGTTGAGGTCTTTTCTTTGGCAGTTAGATTACGATCCGAATTTTCGTGTTTTTTCGGTGAGACTATAATTTATGGACGATCTTCGGGCGACGCCAAAGTGGCATTGAAAGTGTCTACCAAATTACTATGGTTGGAAGAAGGTTATATAACAGTTTGAAGAAAAAGGATTATGATTTTTAGTTGAAGGTTAGTTTTGGGAATCAAATTCAGGGTTTTCATCACGAAATGACTTAAGCTATAATGTCAAGACTCTATTTAGCCAAATGGGTGAATGAATTTTGCGCCCAAATCCGAGACCCATTATCGTGGATCTGATTGGTTCGTCCATAAATTATATTCTCGCCGTTTTTTTTCTTGACTGGCTGAGCAATGTTGAATGTAGCTTGGACAGAAAATTCATCAGCTGATTTTCATACAGGACCTGGGCTGTTCAGTATTCTCGACGTTGACTCTCGATCCTTTTCAACATTGTTGACGAGAGTCCAGTCTCCAGCAGAAGTTTCGAGGTCTACAGTAGCACTCGAAGGTGCTTTACAGGAAAACAAAAGTTTAATCAGAGTTTAACGCCGTATATGTTTTAGAGGTTCTAAGGTTCAATATATCGCCATTAGTTTTGGTGTTTATTTCATCAACGTGAATATCGCTGAAGACCATCTCCTTTAGTTCGCTGAACGTCTTGTTTGTTCATTCGTTTCAGAATTGATTATATTGCTCAGAAAATCCCCAGCTTTGTCTTGAGGCCCATGCTTGCTCCTTGAGGTCAACTTTTACACTCGCCACCCTTTAATACCACATGTGACAATGAAACGGCACCCAGGACGCTTATATGAGATCTTAGAGACCATGGTGAAATATAAATTGTTAAACATATTCAAGCAGAAGTTCACGATCATAAAGACAATAAGATGCCTGAATCGGAAAAGCAGTTAAAAGCGAGTACTATGAAAGCTTAAGACAAACTAAAATTAGCCTATTGACTTGAAAACCTTATATGCAGAATAGTAAGCTGAGACACAAAACACAATTATCGATTAATCCGGATGAAACTCAAAAAGAGAATTAATCTGCAAAACGCGAATCTCAGGACGAAAGCTGTGTGATTTTTCAGTCTAAGTGACTAGTACTACCATGCTATTTGTTTATGCTAATCACTACAAATGCCGGCCTTTTCAACCAAATTACTGTTAACATTTGATGGGGTTTTCGTTACTGATGGACTATGAGTTGCCAAGCCTTTTCAAAAAATATTGGTCCAGCTCTGATTGCTTGGTTTCTCCTTATATTTCTTACAGTTTTGTATTTAGTTTTTATGTAGGTTATTGTAAGCTTACTACTAACTTTTCAGTTGTTGGGATTTTAGCAAAGAAACTAGTTATGCATTTACTGTGTGTCATTCTTTGCTGTTTTTCTTTGTGGTATCTGCATTTGGCAAGGCAACCTTCATGGACCCTGGATATTATGCTATGGGTGCGTCGTGAACCTCACACTAACCGTTTGTAAATAGGTGTTCCCGGTGAAAAGATGACTACTGTTGAGAAAGGTTCCCCTCGTACTGTAATGTATAAGTCTGTTGACATAAATGGAGTCTCCACCCGTTTGAAATGGTGTGTCACATGTGAATTTTACAGACCTCCTCGCTGTTCTCATTGCTCTATTTGCAAACATTGTATTGATGTAAGTTGTTCAGTTCGCCAAAAGATTTTCAGACGTTTGATCATCATTGTCCTTGGCTGAACAATTGTATTGGGAAACGAAACTATCGGTATTTTTTCTCGTTCCTACTCACATTAACTCTTCATATGATTATTGTTTTTGGCGTGTCCATGACGTATGTCCTGATGCGTACGAATGAACTCTCTCACTACAAAGTCATTATTGCGTATCCTTTATCTTGTGTCTTTTTAACTGTAGACAAAACTTTCAGCATTCCTTAGCTTATCTTTCAGCATTGGTGTGTTAATTTTGGTAGGCTTATTGCTGCTTCCTGTGCTAGGTCTGACGGGATTTCACATTTTTTTAGTCAGCAAAGGACGAACTACAAATGAACAGGTAAGTCTTAGATGACTTCCGCCCAAAAGTTTTGTCACTATATATTTCATCAAGATTTTTGTATAAATATTTTTAGTTTGTCGATATTAATCTGCTGAGATAGCTAATTCCCATATATCAGAGGAATGTATCCGCTATGACTTGGGATTTGAGCATGGATTTAATTATCTTCAATAATTTACCAATTTGACTTTAGTGGCCTAAATTCTCCATAATTTGGGATTCATGTGCTTCATGAGTTAGGGTGTACAGCCACAACACATGGGTCAACTATGCGTATTACTTTTGATTGCAAGATTTAAAAAATGGAAAAGTTTCCCGGCAACCTATTGATCTGTGTTTTTAGTCTGAAATTATAACGTGATTTCAATTCGAAAGTGTCTTACTTGTGTCGTTATGTCTCCGAATTGACCGAAAAATGATAAACGATTGTTATAAAACTGACAAAAGGCGACGAACTTTCAGTGTATGATAGTCTGGTATTAAATATTTTAGACTTGAAATGATATGTATGATTTTAGTCTTTTAGGTGTTTCTTTGATATCTGTTGATTCTTGCAAATTATTTTTTTGATAGACTTCAATTTCATCTTCGTAAGTCTATAGTTACTCTATTCTCAAGTCTGATCCTACAACTGCCTAATTATGGTAATGTAACTTACTCTTGTTTGACTTGTTTACCTCATTATTGTTATATCTCACAATGCAACATTTTTTCCTCCATAATTTCAAAGGTTACTTCAAAATATGATCTTGATATGAACCCTTATGATCGCGGCCTGTGCAAGAACTGGCTACACATTTTTTGTACCTCTCAACCACCTATGTAAGTTTTGTTTCCTCAGTTTATTTTATATTTTTAATGTAGATTGAATCGACCAAATGTAGCTGAAGTTGATATGTGGGAAATATCCTATAATGGTAAACCTATCAAACACCGTCAAACATCAAATTTGCGTTCTGGTTCTAATAACTACAAGCTTTCTGATACTTTTGTAAGTTAATTCATCCTGCCGTAGTATTTTGTAAATAGTTGTTTTTCTAATTCGTTGTTTCGACCCTTTAATCTGTAGACTAAACTGCAAAATATACTACCAGTTAGATACGACCTCTAGTCTTTCAACTTGTAGTCTCCATGAATACAATTTAATATTTACTGTTGTTAAGTATGTGTAAGTTTTCAACTGATTGTTCACGCTTCATTTGAAAAATCTTATGTATATCTCTATTAGTCACTCACCCATATACGAAATTCCTTCCTTTAGCAAACACGTATCTACATATGATTTCTATTTTTGCTGAAGTAGTTTACGTCGTGTTTCATCTTTTTTCGCTTTGTGGTAATTAAAATGCAGTTGTTAGGATACGGGTACTAGGTAAGGATGGCAAATCAATGGATGAAGTAGTGATACTTCATCAGTTGAGATGGCTGGGACACGTGTTACGTCTGCCCAACGACCGACTGCCTCGACGTGCGATGTTCAGTGGTATAGGAGTAGGTTGGAAGAAAGCTAGGGGCGGCCAGACCAAAACATGGCATAAGTCCATGAAGTCACTGACAAGTGGTCTGAGCCATGTTGATAGGTGTAAACTACCTGGTTGGGGACCGCGAGATGATAGCAACCGATGGTTAGAGACCCTGAATGACATGGCTCAAAATCGTTTGCAATGGCGCAGGTGCATCCACTCTTTGTGTTCTCCCAAATTCTAATCTTCTGAATTCATGTCCCTTTTTTCCTCTTTCCAAATTCATTTCACTGAATTATACTCTTTAAATAACATCTCCAAACCCTAATCTTCCCGATCACTGCTTACACTCTTGCTACCTCTACCACAATGGGATTTGAATCGACAACTGCATCTCTGTGTTAAGGTGGTGTGGCAACCCGAACTGATGTACGTACGTACGTACGAAGTTCTACGTTACTGACTGACTGGTAATTAAAATCATGTTTAGGTGTTTATTTTCGGCTGTTTCTTGTTTAGTGATCATGTGCTACTTTTGTTCATGAGTAATTCATCTCAATCTCTGATTTTCGATTCTACAAGCTTCAGTAAAATATTTAACTTCCTATTCCCTTAGTTGTTAAATATATTAGTTGTTTAAAGATCTTCATCATATTACAAGACCAATATTTGAACGAATAGTAATCTTTTCGATAAATTCTCCTCAGGTTCTAAACGTGAATCTTAAATTTTCGCTTAACATATATGCTGATTCGAATTAACATTCTGTATGGGTCATATCAACATTAACAATTTTATTCTACTTATCTTGACAATCATAAATTCACACGCGTTAACTTTAAACGATGTACTTTCCCCTTAACCTGACCATTTTTCGGACTATTAGTTTGGATATATAATTGTAGAACTTGAAGAAGATTTGTCGAAAAGAATATTTTTCGTTCGAATATTAGTCTGTTAAATATATGCTGAAATGCATAACAACTGTTATGGCACAGGATATACTCTACCGGTTGACCACTCTGTTGTCAATTTATACCGTTGTTTGAAAGCTACCGAGTTTTAATTTCAACTCAGATCGTAACCACAGCCAGCTTATTTTATTCAATTTATAATTCTGTCAATGAACTATGAGTCGCTTTGTATACATTTATGAGCCCGAAAAATTACAAAATGTGACGTTATTTTAGCAAATTTTTAGTTAAGATGAAATTTAAGTGGTTTAGAGTTGTAATTAAGACTAAAACTGTTGTAACGCAGTTCAACTGAGCTGTTAAGTTGTATTGAGACTTAACTTGTGTGAAAATTACTTGGCACTGGTTCTGTTTTTATGATAACAGTCCTAAGGTTTACTTTTAGAAATTTGTAACCATTTCTACTAACTACTGGTCAGTTGTCATTTTTTTTTCGAACACCGTCTAATTATGGAATTAAGTCAGTACAGATACAGAGAAATACCCTTGTCTCACGTAATTAATACATTCGTGTACTACGTACTAAATGAGACTGATTTCATTATCAATTGTTTGGCTGGTTATCACATCATATATATGAATAGCCGGAGTTTGACCCCACAACACACTTTAAAGGCCAAGTCTATGAATCGGTAATATATAAACATTATATGACATCGATTATTTGTGCAGTTCGTCTGACTAAAGTCTTGAATTTCTAGCCAAGTGGCTGAATATTTATATTACAAAGTTATGCAGACTAAGTTTGCATATATGTTGTTGAAATGATTTCTGTCTATCAGCCATAATCAACGTAGAAACTTGCACAAATTTCGGTCAACTCGATTCTCCATACTTTGTTAACACAAGGTGGAATTAATAAAATGAATAGATATGTGGTCAAAATAATTGTAATAGCAATCATAATTAAAAAGACAATGTTAGCGGAACATAGACTGGATTAAAGCAAGCTTAATGCACGATTGCTTTGGTGCACGCTGATTGGCTAATTCTTATCCAATCAGCACTAGTCGATAGTTGAAGAATACTCTAGAATCTTCTCATGTAAAAAACTATAAATTTACTGACGTTTTTCCATATTGTGCTTCCTACTGGCTTCTTGCTTCCATCTAACCTTGTTATTTGGAATATAATCTCTTTCCTGTTCAACCGTGTTCTGATTTGGGGACTTGTCGAGTTAATCGGTGTCCGAGAATACTAAGCAATAGGAATAGCTGGGTCACAACCGTAAGAAGAGATTTTAACACTGAACATTAAGACTAAGGTTTAGGAAGAAAGAATGAAAGGATATGTATGAGTATATTCTGGGATTCAGGATCTAGAAGATAAAGAATAAATGGATGTTTTTTTCTGTGACTGATTCTTATCTATATCACCTAGTGTACTCAACCATTAATAGCAGTCATCGCACGGACCTCAATCAGGTAGTTTTCAGCTACCAATATGGCTCAAACTTTCATAAGTTCTGTAAAATGATTTAGTTAGTTCACGATGAATTACTGCTACTCTTTATTCCCGCACAAACTATTATCTGTCAAGTTCATTTGCGTTAAAAATGCTCGAAAAATGTATTGTTAAACTTTTTAGTTTTTGTGTAACAATATTTTTTTGTGTATCTTTGTAGAAATCATCTAAAAACCCGGTTGATATTGTTAAACAGGGAGAAGTTGTTTGTGAAAAAGTGGATTTGGAAAATATAGTTAATCACTCTTCTGATCAACGAAACACATCCGAATCAATATCAAGTGTTCATCATGAATTAAACAATTCTCTTTCACCCAACCCACAATCAAAAGTTTTATCCCTTAAAGAGTTTTCAAATGCAACCCACACTAATGAAAACCTTATGTCTAGATCTCAATCTCCTGTTTGTGGAAGGACTGGCGAATTAAATAAAACAAATCCAAATCTTGCTTTAGTAGGAACAAAGTCAAAGTCTTTAGGTAACAAAGATCAAGGTAAAAGTCTGCTGATTGGGACAAATACACCGAAATATGTATCAAATGAAAATAGTGCTAGCTTTAATTCTAATATCAATTCTGTTGTAACATCTAATGTCCCCACGAAAATCATATCCGATAGAGATCGTTTCGGCACAAAAGGCGACCATTTAACTCCACTTCTAGGATCTCAAGCGAATTCGGACGTTGACTTGATTCGGGGACGTCAGTTGCAAAAACTTACCATAGAAAACCAAAGTAAGTCGAGTAATTCGCTTCATCTCAGACAACAGGATCAGAGTGCCGCTACCGAAATTGGAAGAAGTTCTTCACGTGATTTTTCTTCCCGTTCCAATGAAAATATGTGTCCTTGTACATCATCTAATTCGATGATGAATATCCGCGATCGAGTCACCCTACCGATAAGTTCATATGGTGCGCCATTTTCTCAACCGCGTGTTGCTACTACTGAACAATTCAGCACTCAGGATTTTAATGGTACACAGTGTACATCTAAATCTTACTCTCCTTCAACAGGTCGTGGTATACATTATGTCACGTCAGCTACACTTGATTGTTACACCCCTGAATCTGTAAATCTACCAACTAGCAATATATCAAGGGGTTTTGTGAAATCAATGAGGTCTGAACAACGCCGTCATGAATTTCCACACCAGTTTTATCCTCGGTCTCCTGGAATGCAAGTAGATCAAAGACACTTCCTACCCCATAATGAAGTTGCCAATCATTTATCTCCACGGTCACCTCATAGTCTTCCTCCACCCCTACCTCCTCATGGCTCCCAGACAAATATTTCTCATGCTCGTCCATTTTGGCCTCCAGCTGTACCTCCTCACGGTATTTCTAAATCAGTACCATATTTCTTGCCGGTTGATGCAGCTAGTCAATTTAGTAATACCACAACATCCTCTAATCTTCGTTTGGTCAAACCACCTTATTTCAGTAATCCTCATGGGGTTCAAGTGGATGGATCTAGTTACTTCATAGGTAGTCCACGTACAAATGAGCAGTCAGCTTCAAAATTTGTATCTCAGTCATTTGGTTCAACTCATTGTCCTTCAATCATGACACAAAGTGGTTCACGTCCTACGCCACCATTACCTCCGCATAATCGAATTTCTAAACTGAATGCACCAATCAATCGAATGCAATCAACTGGACATAGGGATTCTAATCATTTAGTAACACGATGGCAAAAAGATGGTGATTCTAATTCTCCTGATGGGACTTTTGAAATTTCAGTTTAGAAAATGTGTGTTGATAATGCCGTTAACCTAAAAATGATGCTAACATTTTTAACCAAGTTCTTTCATTTTTTTTTGTTTTCTTCGTTGTTTTTCGTTAGTCTTTCAAAATATCTTTGACCACTGTAAAATTGCTTGTCACTCAACGAAAGAATTTATCTTGTTGCTTTTATAAATCTCTACAACTTGTATAAATAACGTTTCTAAGCTATATTCTGTGACTAATATGTACTCTACTTGTAACGATATGTTCATAAAGTTTAATATTTATGAATTTGGAAAAAAAGATTCGTAGGCAAATAATCGAATATTCTAAACGTTATTATGAAATGAACAACTATACATATACTTATGTGCAATAAAAAAGAACCACTCTTAATTGTTATCTATTTCTTCTTCAGGATTTTACGCATAGTTTACGTTTTATTCACTGGATTCTTTCTTTTAGAAAATGCATTATTATAAACTATACAACGAATTATCATTAATATCTAGGCTATCAATCAAATCAAAGAAAAAATATACAAAATTCAAACTAAGTTATATTTTAAAATTTCATACCGTTTTATAAATTTGTTCAGTATTCGACAATGTAAACAAAATAACAAAAAAAAACTCATGCTTGTATATTACATAATTTTTACTGTTCTTTTTAAAAAAAATTACAATTATATATGCATCTATTTGTTCATAAATATGTGAATCCAATTTCACTGAATAATAACGGTACATAAAATTGTTGCTGCTAATGTTGATGGGTGACCTACAACTGCCTTTAATTTCTACATTTGTTTGAAAGAAAATTCCCTCTAAATTAAATATTATCAACTCTGTTGTGTTTGTATATCTTGTGGCCTTTTTGTTCTTAATCATACAATAAAAATATACATTTATAATATGTTGGATTGATTATTCTTAATTATTGAACAAGTGCTGTGTACGCCTTCATGTAGTACGTTGTACAATTTTCTGCTCTGTACAGAAAATAAAAGTGAATTAATGCAGTGTGTATTCTTTTTGATACGTCTGTTTGGCACTGTGAATAACGGTTGCTCTAAAATATTACTTTAGTGACATATCGATTGTGCTTTCTGCTATCAACTTGTCCGTTATGGTGTTAAGGCTTTTATACATTGAGATTAGAGTTTTCTGTTCTTTTAACCCCATTAATCATGTAGTGTTTATCCATTTTACAGAAAATTAGAATATTGATGTGTGAATAAATTGGTAATTGAGGTTTACAAAAAAGTACACCATTTAGACATTAATTCGGTGTTAAAAGATTCAGATTTACTGACTTCAGTTGGACAAAACTATTGAGTACTGTTCAGTTCTCCCTAATTCACTCCTAACAGTAAAACCATATTTAAAGGAATCTCAGCAAATATAAAGTGGGATATCAATTATTCATCGTAATACATTTCATCAGTGAATCGTAGTATATTTTCTCAAAACCTAGAAATACTCTAATCTCCCGTGCAGTGAGATGATGTTCAAATCTGTAGCACCTGCTTAATAGTTAATGATAATATCAGTTTAATACAATAGTGTACATATGTTTATTAGTATGCTTTTTGTATATCTTCGTATTCGCACTTAAATATATTCTGCATGTAATCACTCACTTTATAGCAATGGCTCCCTGGAGAGTAAACTTAAATTTGGTTACGGTTATAGCACTCATTTAAGATTCCTTAATCAGTTATCATTTGCCCGAGTTGACATTTGTGCATACCTATCTTTTTTGTCTTAAAAGTTAGCTTCATTCTAAATTTGAAGTCGGAAATAATTTGTCGTTTTCACGTATATCACTAGATAACTATATAATCCATATATTTCCTAACTATAAATTTTGTTCCGGATTATTACTACTCCCGTTCTTTTATCTTTTTAAAATTTAATTCGAATTCAAAATTCATTTTCTGATTTGTTGCAATAGCTGTGCTAGAAACAAGCTGAATTTTTGTTGTTTCACTCTAGGAAGAAGTACCGTTTAATGTCATGCGTGTATTTCTAAATAATTTAGTGTTCATTACATTTAGATATCAATTTTCTTAAAATTATCTTCAGTTTTCACCTTAAAAAGGCTTTACATTGACTCAAGCATAGTTGTATTTGTTCACATATACTACCATTATGTTCTTTTTCAGTTACAAATAGCTAATCAGAAAGAATCTGGTTTATAAAATTAATAAGCCAGAAAATGTTTGCTTGAAGACTTTTTTCCAGTTTGCATCTCACGTATTAAATATGAAGATCCTGTACAACTATATTAACTTCTTCTTTAAACACGTACAGTTGGTTAGTGTTCTATATTTCTTGAGGGTCCTTCTAAGTTTATAAATTTGCGAATTTTTTTCAGTGTAGATTAAATAAATTTTATTTATTAAATTATCTCGTGAATTTTAGACAATATGGAAAGTTGTTCAAGGATATTACAGTTGTTATTGTAATCTACATTCTAAGTTGTAGAAATCCAAACTTATAGACCGTACTCTGTCTGTATAGATCTCAAATAATGATCTCAGTAAATTCAATTTGTTAAAATGTGGTTTGTAAAACTCTTTTTTGTATAAGTGAATGCTTGTACATTATTACGCTTTGATTCGTCGAACTTTGTTACTGAATGAATTATTGTTCTTTTTCAGTTGTTTTGCTAAATGCATAGGATCGAAGCTTCAGTTTAAAACAATGACGTCAAGTTTATATGATGACTTGGATATTTTAGACGGAACACCTCTCGATAATTTAACATCAAGCGAATCGTCTAACAAGTCAGGAAATGCTCCATTAGTTGGTTTGCGTGTCACTGCTAACTGGTCGGAATCTGATGTAACACCATCTAATCAATTCAATGTGAATGCTTCTTCAGTCAATTCAAATTCCAGGTAAGTTATCATCCATTTAATGGCTTTAAATTAGTTTGCTTTTTCAGCTGGTGAAATGATTGATTAAGAGTAGTATTGGTGTACTAGTTTATTTTTCATCCATTTACGTGTATTTACACCTAATTACTATTTAATTTCATATTAAACATTAATGGAAAAATGTGTACATTGACTATGAAAAGGCGGTTGACAGTGTAGATAGGAGGATGTTATGAAAACTTCTTCGACACTACGGAGTTCCTGAGAAGATTGTCAACATTATCCGGAACTCGTACGACGGACTACAAGGTCGTGCATGGAGGACAGCTGACAGATGCATTCCAAGTAAGGACCGGAGTCAGACAATGCTGTCTACTCTCTCCCTTCCTCTTTCTTCTGGTGGTCGACTGGATTATGGAAACCTCGACATCTGAGGGAAAATACGGAATACAATGGACAGCTCAGAACCAATTAGACGATTTGAGCTTCACAGATGACCTAGTACTCCTATCCCATACACACAAACAAATGCAGATAAAGACAACCAGTGTAGCAACAGTCTCTGCATCAGCAGGCCTCAACATACACAAGGGGAAAACTAAGGTCCTCAAATACAACACGGAGAACACTGTCGAATGCTGCCCTAAGGTCAAGGAATACGACTATAGTCGGACGTCTAAAACTGTATCGATCTTCCAGAACCTGACGAAGGGTGAATATTTGGTTTATACATTCACGTTCAGTTTAAAATGACGTAAAGGATAATTAAATGTTGGCGTCAGTGTATGGTGTTTTCGTGTACTGTTGAAAATGTGCTGCTAACTGTAAACTGTCGTAATTTAAGAAATCACTAGTTGAAGTCCATAGTTAGAAAGATGCCAAATCTTGGATATAATCTATACTTGTTTGCTTTTCTCTCCAGAATATTCCAATAATTCTTATCCGTGTGGTTTTGTTATGGGCTAGAACTTGAACTGATCTACGTACATTGACTTTTCTAATCATCTTGCAAACCTATTTTCACTTCTCTGCCTCTTTGGTTTAATTCGAAAGTTATAAAACCGTCGAGTTATTCAGGTATCTCACAATCTGTCTATTCCCTTTCTCTTTCTTGAAGTCATGTTGTAATCTTGGGTTTTCTTAATTTTAATCGTTTTTCTTAAGCATATTAAGTCAGAGCTAGTAAACTTAATCTATGCGTATTGGTACAGTTCTTCAGTTTAACTGGGCTTTCACTGAAATACATATTCATGAGTTTATTTCGTTTGTATGCAATCAGCTTTATTTAATTTCTCTTCTAGTTTAAAATTAATGCAATCTCACATGGCTGTGAAACGTGCTCAGGGTCGACGCCCCGCCACAGATTCTTCTAATTCTCAGTGGAGTACTCGCACAACACTAGCCCCAGTAGTCGATTTAAAACAGCGTGTACCACACGTAGATGGCTCTTACAGGTAATGATATTAGTCCAGCCGTATACGTGTTTTGCATGTTTTGTATGCTTTTTGTTTAAAACCTAAAAGATTAACGTTTATTGAAATACTTTCCGAATGTATCTAAACATATATTATTGAGCAAAAGGTTCGTCTTTACAGTCTGTTTGTTTGTTATAGTTTTTGAAAGGAAAGGAATTATTTAGAAATCGATATAAGATTATCCCATCAAGTTTCCTAGTACATCTAATTCCCTATTACAAAAATTTCACTTTATACTTTAACATACTTGGGCATATGAGTTTTGCGTATATCTTAACGACTTGTCTTTTTAAGTATGTTCGTTTATGTTGAAGAATAATGTATTTCCTTTGATACTAACATTGATGCCCTCTTGCTTAAGAATATTTTTGAGTATAGTTACTGTTTTCCTTCTATTTCTCAAGTAAGTTAAACGCTAATTTTGGTTTTGTCAGTTCGAACTTTTTGTTACTATATTATCATAATGATACAACTGGTTTTTACATCGAATTTGTAAAATATAGAGTATTCTACTGTGATTGTATACTGGTCAATATATTCGGACAGTTCCGCATAATTGTTGATGAATGCTGTTTATCTGTTTTCTAGACACGTTATCAGTGAAAGCGATTGCTAAATTATAATTCCGCTATTTTAATTCTGAGATAAAAACTCAAAACGATGTGTCAGAAAATACAAGCTATTATGAAATTACTGAAAAAATTCAGAAAAATCATATGCAGAATCCGTACATCTTATTCATACGGAAATCAAAGTCGTATCAAGCATCCTTTAAAATTGTCTAGAATTAAAGATAACAAACGCGTTTACGTACTTGCTCCAGAAGGTTTATTTGATATGGCAAACTTGTAAATATTGCATTGAGTACACATAAAAGTTCTTTACTTCTATGAGATACCATAACTTCTGACAGCAAGTCGAGAATCAATAATCTTATCTGAATTTCCATCACTATTATCAAAGGAAAATATTCTGTCCAAATCTTTATACAAAGTTGTTCCTGGAATAAAATTGATTACATTCGTCATGCATCGTGGTAAAATTCCTCATGAATTAAGCCGAAAAAGTTTATCTGAACTTTTTGAATTAATAGTATGTTTTTACTAAGCACGTCTACGAATTTCGTGAGTGTAAATCTATCACACTTCAATCACCTACGTGTACCAGTAAATCTCCTCACATCAAATCTGTTAACCACTTACCTAGTTGATTTTTGTGAGTGTTCTTTTAAATTTTGCTATGCTGAATTCATCCTGAGAAAGTTGTAATAGTGCCAGTATCAGTGAAAAATCTTTATTAATTAAACTACTAATCTCAATACACAGTCATAGAATTTTCCATGTCGTCTAGTTTGGAAAACATTTTTTGCTTAATCTATCATCAATTGTAGGTGTAATGTATACATTCTGAAGAATAAAATTTCTACGGTTGTTTATCAGTAATTTTGAATGTCAAAAAACCAATTTATTTGTTTAAAACCTTTAAAACTTACTAATTGGAATTTTGATAATTATGATATTTACTTGTTGTCTATACTCCCAATCGATGAAACATTTAACTATAAGTTATTTGTTATAATAATCTCTTTTTTGAATGTTCTGCATGATGATACTGATATTTAATTATGTCAAATCTCTAGTTTCTCTCCATTTCACTTCGATGTTTCAATTATATCGCATTGTATCTATGTTGGATACATTTTTACCTATATTTTATGATATCGGTACAATGTCCTATATTTCATAGTGATATGTAAACTTGATTGGGGTGTAAAAGTATACTAAATTATTAAATGCTGTGTAGTCGAACTTATTTAATTATCTTGGACCCTCTTAGTAAATATAATCTAAAATGACACTATTAAGCTGTATTCGACATTAATGTTCACATAGGCAGTTACAACAAAGTAGAACATCAGCTTAATAGTGCAACATTGCTCGTTTATGGCGGAACTGTCAAATGGGAAATGCTGAAGTTAGTTGTAAGTTACTATGTAAAGATGGCAGAACAGTTGGTGACTTTAAATCTTCGTCTACTAAGTGTATTATCACCCTCTGCATTTCTCTTTGAGCAATTCTCGATAACCCCGATGTATAATTAAAGAAATATATGGGTGACCAAACCATAATTTGAAAGTAGTCTATGAAGTCACTAACTGTTGGCTTGGTCCTTAATGGCCTACTTACCGAGAAAATGTTTATGGGCTTTAATCAACCACATTTGTGTTGACTAGTGAGTCTACATATGTGCCCAAACTTATCTCGATGTTGCAGTGTTCGAAACCCTGGGTTAATGTTGGAAACAGGGTGTTTTTATCATACTTTCAACAATCCAACATATGTATTTTTATCGATAAACAATAACATGTTATGGTCACATTAAACCACATGAAACCCATCTATAATAATCACTCCCCGTGTTGATTTCTCTATGAATCACTATACTACATTATTTTTTATTATTAAACTGATATTTCATTTTAGCCCTATATATAACATGTAAGCAGGTTTGCCGATATTTCTATATTACGTTTAAATAATAAATATTTATTAATGTACATAGTTATTTATGCTAATCGATTATGACTGATTTATAAAGATAAGAAAAACCGGTTATTACGTATGACTAAAAGGTGCTTACATTTTTAAAATTAATGATTTTATTTCTTTAATAAGACAAAACAATGACTATGTGAACTACTCATTCAAATTCAAAAACATATCAACTCATATGGTTAAACCTGCTTTACATTCTTGGTTCAGAAACTATTCATTATTTATCACAAGGTTGAACTTTATAGATATAAACATATAGTATAAGTTCTTCAAGCAAATCTGTATGAGGTATTCGTCACTGACTGATTCCTATTGTGGTGCTATTAGAAACCAAGGAACCATGAACAGCTGGTTCATCCCATTGTATGAAAGTGTATACCCGTGATACTGAAATGAGTACGTTTTACTGATTTAAATGGTCGCTGTAAGACCACTTCATTTCCAAATAAATGTTCCCATTATATTTCACTATTTTGTTTCACCTTTTGATGTTTAGACGGTAAGTGATATGTGCTCTGTACATTAAATTGCTTTTGAATCTTAACCGATTCATTGTGACTTATCAGTTGAAAAATATTTTAGGCTCTGGACATTGTCATTAGTATAACTTTGCAATCACCTAAGTTAAGAAGTCTAATTTATTTATTTATAATCAATAATTTTATGTTGGCTTACTGAAGTTGTTACGAAATACCTAGTTAATTTAGTAATATATCTAGCTGATCAATTAATCCGTACTGCTCAACATATGTGTTAAATGATACTTGTTTGAATATTGTCGAAAATTCGCTGCTTTTGATTGGTGGCTTTGGGCTATCACTGTTTTATATCATCAAAAGTGAACCTGTTACTGTCCTGTGTTCTAGACAATAAAGAATATTTTACACTGAAATGTTAAGACATCTCCGAAACAAATAAAAAACCCAAAGTAATGGAAAGTGGGATAATGAATTATTTGTTTATTTTTCCATACATAAACAGTTTTCTCTGTAAATCGAAATCAGAAATAATCTAGCAAACATCTTACTATTACTATTACTGATTTCATTTCATATTTTATCCTCATATTGTTTGTTTTCGATCCATTCGTAAACTATTTGTTGTATTTATTTTTGTTTCCACGTAATTGATGTTATCAACTATCTACTATCTAAATTACGTGTTTCAGAAGTATGTTACAGTTGCTTGTAATTCAAAAAATCTGTATTGTGTAAATAAGTGTTTGGTAGTCAATGAAGAGGAATGTTAAATATCATTTATGTTATTCATTTTAAGTAATAAAGACGGCGATAAAAATTAAGTGTTTGCTATTTTCGACTTCAAAAATTTCTTCGTAATAATCTCGACGCATTTATTTAACTCCAAGTTAACCCAAAAGCCAAATCTTGAGTAGATTTAATTTAAACCTCGTAGAACACTGATTATACTGTTAATTATTGTGCGTAACTATTATTTGTATTTTCGTTAATAGCTAATCTGAACAGTTGTATAGTAAAATGGCAGTAAACAAATTAAGGATAACCATATTCGAAGTTTGTGACTATAAGTATCTCTGAACATAGAGAATTTAACCTTATGATATTCTCGATATATAAAATTGCTCTGCCTAAAAACATCTAGTTGTAACTATAACCTCAGGAAAATAAAACACGATATTTTCACAACTGTTCGATAAATGGTGATGTGAATATACGTAATGCTACAGAAACATTGCTAGAGGCACTAGTTCTCTGTCATTCAGTTTGTTATTGATAGTCTGTTGAATAACAATTGATCGTTCAATACTTCCTCCTCAAAATAAGATATAAATAGTCAAGTCACTTTTAAGGGAAATGAAAATACCCATATTTGATGATTTATCTACTTATCGAAAGACTAATAGTCTGAAATTATTGTCAGCGTATTTCTCAGGCTTCTCTGGGTTGGATGAAATATTTTTACACTATTTTCTTATCTTGTACATCTACCTGCTTTTCTAGTTACCTACCACCTTCCTTTCAAAATTGATTATTATTGTTTAAAGTTGCCCAGCTGTTGCTTATTTAATTCTACGATCTTGCAAACGGAAGTAGTACTAATGTTTTCTGTTTCTTCGTTAAATGAGAATATCACTGTTTTATCGTAACTTGTTAAAATTCTGTCATTTAGGGACTGTGATTACTTTTTTTACTTAAAGTCGTTACCATGATTTAATTTTGTGTGAAATATGATACGCTTGTTTATATGCTTATTTCCGTTATTTTCAATGAAAGAAACTTAGACATTATCAACGTCAAGTATATTACACTCCTAAGTAACTAACATTCATAATAGATATTTTTTATTTGGTTGTGTAATCGAATGTCACCTAGAGCTCTTTCTATGTATATGTACATATACATAAGATTCTTATTAAGACGCTTTCCAGTAGGAAATATATTTTATCCACTTATATATCCATGTTTCTCGTCTCGTTTTAATACTTTCAGTTATTCTCTTCATTTTTCCTTCAACGTTGTTTCCGTTTTAAATGCTTTGATATTGTTAGATGGGTATCATCAGTGTTATTTCTTAATCATTCCATTTATTATGTTGATTTAATTAATTAAATATCATTAGTCTTACTCTAAAAAATCAGGTTTTCATAGTTTTTCTTCAGTTTAATCTTAAAACAGTATGTAGATAGATCAATAATTATCAGTGTTTCTTTTTCATGTACCATCTATAATACTAAAAATCCTCTTTATATTATGTTTTGTGCGGATTTCGAATAATTGTTAAATTATTCAGAAAAAAATATTTTTTTCTGACAACACTAATATTCCACTCACAGAGACCGTCAGTTTCATCTGCAATTACATAAATAATAATCAGATTAACATCGGAATACCGGAAGTTTATTTGAAGGAACGTTTGTTTGTTCTACCTCACTGTCATCATGTTTAACAGAAGTTTATTATCAGTATTATTGTAATTATTACCATCCTGAAAAATAAGTATATATATATTTTGCGATTGTACAACTTTGGAAATGAATTCGCCGAAAAGAAAATTCTTCGCTGAACTAATTTTTCCTATTTAACAACTTTATAGTTTGAACTTTTGTTCTGACGCCTTTATCGTATCTCTTCATCATTATTTGACAATTCATCCATTTGTTTAATGTCCTTACAACTGTATAAAACTAAATTAAGAATATGTCCTATGTTCATAAGTGTGTTATTAGTATATATATATATATATATATATATATATATATTTTATATATATATATATATATATATATATATATATATATATACTAATAGCAATAAACAGATTAGGATGCCATGATAGATTATAGTAAACATAAATATGGTAATTAATGTGCACTGAGAGACCTAAAACTTCACGTTTTTCTTGTTGATTGAAGTCTGTAAAATAACCGTTGTGTAGTTCAGCTTTTTTATTTTGATAACCTTATGATAGGAAAATATGTACATACATATACATAACTTTTTAACTAACCTGTTCACTTATTCACATGTTTCTAGTTAATTCATTAACATAGAAACCTTTTTCATGTGTTCTTTTTTCCAAAACACCTCTAGTAACATGTAACTAATTAGCTTCAACTGTTACTTTTTTGAAAGAATATTGAAATGCTTGTATTTTTTCGAGTGAATCACTATATAATTATTATGACTCTCCAATTAATGTAAATAAGTTAATTAAATCCTAAAATTACTATCTACGTAAATAAGTAGGAATTCACTTGTACATTAAAAATTGCAATTGAAATCAAATCAAACATTTGCCTCCCTAAATGATTATATATATATTGCAATTTTTTGGATACTAACCAACTTAACGATTTGTGTGAAAAACTGAGTGAATAAAATACTACAAGCAGAAACTATAAAACACTTTTTTGCTACTGTTGTGATTATGTAAACAAACTTCGCCGTGGCACTCTTCTTCACATCTAACAAATAATAGTGCAAATTAGATTTACATGTTCTCATAAGTGATTGATAAATCATACATTTCAAAAGACAAGTTATATCAGAAGAAACAAGCATTAACTGATACTAGTCTGTTCAAGGAGCATCAGTACAAAAACAGTATGTATTACTCAAACCCATATTTTGTGACGTCAATGTTGTAAACCATTAAGGGAAGTAAATATCGTTATAATGTTTTTGTTTGCTATCAATCTTTTCTAACTTTACAAAAAATGTTTGTTTTTGCTATGAATTAACAATAGTTTTATGATTGCTCGTGATAGTCATCCTTACTAATATCCCTTTTCATGTCTCCTTATCTATAGTTAATATTGTATATTCACTTTAATTAAATGTTGATGACCATTTAGATTTAATCAATTGACTGGACGATTAGAACGATGTGTTTCGGGAAGCAGTGGAGGTAAATCTAAACGTTCGTTGAAACATTCCAATACAGCTATGACGAATGGTTTACTATTTGGTGAACCAAATCTACCTTTGGGTGTGATGGATGAATATAATCCCATGATTCCTAATGAATATGAAGAATTAGCTCGAATTAAACGTGAACGTAGACGTGCTGAGGTAATTAATTATCCCAGGTCTAATTGTAAATATCATAATCTACTTTAAGACAGAGAAATCCCCCTTATCATATTAAAGAAGACCTCAAGACAATTTGACAAAGAATTTTTTTCAAAGTTTTGATGATATTGCTTACTAAACCTGCATAATAGCATTTCTAATGATTTTAAGAGTATAATAGTCTGTTGAAAAATATAAAAGGGTTATACTATAAATTGTTTGAAAAGCTTCACTGAAAGTTTACATAGTGTTCGAAGGGTAAGAGAAAAATACTAAGATAGAAACAAAATATTTTATTTGGCAAATCACTTATACTAGGATTACACAGTTCCAGTAAATGGTAATGTCGCAAAGAAAACTTTCCATCTTAACATTGCTTTTGTGTAAATATTGATCAATTCCCTATTTGATTATATTTCTTAAATATTCCATCTTTATAAATAATAGGCTGTTCATATTAGTTTAGCATAACAAATATAGTGAATTTTTTGAAAGACAGCAGGAAGAAAATACCACGTCATAAGTATATGATTCAATCTCTACGGTCGCACCATAAAAATGATGTTCGGCAAAATGTTGAAGATAAAAACTACATTATTGCTTAGGAGAAATATATATGTAATGAGTCCTCTTTTAAGTTGTCAACTATTACGAAAGTTTTTGACTTTGAAATTTAAAACTTCAAACTCTTTATCAATTTATAGATTATCTTCAGTATACTTATGTGATCTATAAAATTAAGTCTACTAATTATTATGACTTCTATGCAAATGATTAGGTGACATTCTATTGGTATTTTTATTCCTTTTTTTCACTTATAAGAATAATGAATTTACAAACATCATTAAAATGAACTATTTCTTCATTAATTTTTCATAATTCTTTTATAAATAGCTAAACAGTAGCAATACAAAACAATAAAGAACTTTCTGTTTATTAGATCCATTAATGAAAGAATGATTGCATATATAAATATCCATCAAACTTCATAATGACTGGATTGTTTGGCCATGTATTGGGAATTTTGGCACAATGTTTATACTTTTACAGGATAACCGAATCGCGATTACTGTCTGACATTATTATGATCTCTGTAACAAATGTCTTTTCAAAACAATTTATGAATCGTATCTTTTCAATCAACCTAACCTTATATATTTCGTCCTTTACGTATGACATTACTTTCCATATCATTATGACCTTGCATTTAAATGTGCATATGCGCTGCAATTATTTCTAGAATGACTATATATATATATATATATATATATATATATATATATATATATATATATATATATATATATATATATATATATATATATATATATATATAATGCATAGTTTCAAGATTTCGTTATTAAAACTATTCATCCAGTGTTTAATACTTCACTTTAAATATTTTTTCATATATCTACCCTTTTTAGGAATCAGCGCTTGCAGACAGACACCATCGACTGGATCCATTTGGTTTGAATGATCCTTCGGGAATGTGTCGTCGTTATGAGTATTCAGATGAAGAAGATGACGAAGATACAGAATATACTGCAGCTTCCGGTAGGAGTTCTTCACAACCAACAAAGGGTGCTGCTATTGCACCTCCATCTGTTTTACTCGAAGATGTAACTGTTACTCCTGGTTCAAATGCATCCCAAAACTCTGAATCGTCGGTTAATGATGATGACCCTGGAGTTAGCACAGCTAGTAGTAAATTTGGAATGTATGTTTTCGTCAACTTATCCTGTTCATATCTTGTGCAATTTATTATACTTGATTTTACACACCTTTTACTGCGATACTTTAATGTTTTTATACCATGTGTTTATTTTACTGCGTAAAGCTTCTATATTGGACTGTATTACCATTTCTTGCTGCAAAGCAAAAACAATAAACACTGAGATCAGTTGAATTTATTTCATGTGCTTTAAATCTTCCACATAGCGACTGGTTTGGATAAATAAATAAAATGTTTTATAAACGTGATTTTGTGTGTAATATGCATGAATTCATTTAGTTCACCACTAAAATATATAAAAAATCACTTTGAGATTGTGGTGAAGATTTGTTGCTTAAATGGATGATTTTAGTGGAGTTTTGTTCACTGTGCTGGATGTTAGGTCTTGGAGCTTCTATTGTTTTTCTGAACAACATCAGCACTAACCAGTAAAGATTGAGGTCGACAGGACAAGCTGTTAGTTATCAGTGAAGAAATCCAAATACTTTACTTCTATCTGAAGTTAGTGCTGATGATGTTGTTCAGAAGAACAATGGAAGCTTCGCGAATTCTCGGCATTTATATATTATCTGTTTAATAGCACTATTGACCATTTCGGATTAATAACAAACGACTGTTTGCTATTTATCGACTTAATTGACTAAAGGAAAGGAAAAAAGTATCTTATCAACTTGGTTTCTATTTATTTAAAACTAATGATTATGTGGATCAAATATTCTTAACAGCAAATTATCAGAATGTCTACTTCTAATTTTATTTAAATAATTATCAAATTTATTTTCACTATAATTACTCCTATTACATTTACTACCACAAATAGGTTGTCAATAATATGTATTAATATCTGTCTAATATCAATTAGTCATTCCTTACTATTTATAAGCAATAGAAGTTATATTCTGTGTACTTTTGTGGAGAGTAGCTTTTGTTATGTAATAAATTATTCAAGTATTATTTTGATTACATCTGTTTTATTGCTGCGATAAGAATTGCGAATAATTTCATGTAGAATAATGATTTTTACTCTAATGTATAATTTCTTTATTTCATCTAATCGGATTTGTACTGGGATTTTTGGTTGACTGAATAGAATATAAAGTTGCATGTCATTTTGATCTGATATATTTTTGTGGAGATTACATAATCTCTGATTACATTTAGCAAATATTATGATAATCTTAATCTTCGAAATACTTTGAAAGTTTGATTTGGAGTCAACAATGTATATATTTATATATACTGTGTTTAGAAATGTGTTCAAATAAATCATTATGTTTAAAATAGTATCTCAAATGAAATACTTTTGTAACTAAGTTTAATTTGGTACATTAATCATAAAGTATGTATGTTTGTGAATATTTAAATGTAATTTAGTAAGATCATAAATCACCGATAGATAGATCGCAAGAAAAATTTAAATCAAACCGATCAGCGGCTTTTTTGAACATTTCTTATTAACATTTTTGAACTTCTTTTGAACCTCTTAATCTTATTCAAACAATGTTGTAATTTGGAGTAACGCATTTTAGGCTTTAGTTTTATTTTCAAGCTAAAGTAATAACATGTAGCAATAGGTGTTGTTCACCAATAAAAGTTTGAATCTTAGTTTCTTAAATATCCTCTGGCGGTGATGTATCTAGTAGATGAACTGATAATTCGCTCTTATTATTAGTTTTAAAATCTTAAGCAAAAAATTTTGAAAAATAAAACCACCAGTTAATTTACTGTGTATTTGTGTACATACTAGTAAATTAAGCTGTTATTCGGAATTTAAAACTATTTATATACTAAATCATACTTAGTTACAACAGATAAAAGACTGTATAAAGTACGGGTTATGTCCGGTCGATCATCTTAATGATTATTACTTACGAATTTGAATCACTGGCTAAAGATCAAAATGGGCTAATACCTGAAGAACTGAATCATTGGTCACGAAAATATAAGTTGTTTTGCAGAATAAAATTTTATATAAAATAACTGTGATTCATCGAAGATGCCAACGATTGTTAGACATCGGCCTGATCAGTCCAACGAACTTAGGATATTTTTGTCAGGCTTACTTGTTTTCATCCATGTCATGTTTCCATTACGACCATTTTTACTTTAATATAGTTTTATCTGATTCCTTAAAAATTACTGTGTTCACATATCAAATAACTCCGCCTGTAGCTCTTCTAAGGTTGCTGCCGGTCACAAACATGGGTAAAGGAGGAGTGTTGGGCATGAGTTCTGCAAACACATCCCGTAGAAAACAGCCTTGCTAAAAAAACGCTTAGCAGAATAAAAAGTTCAAACCGTTTAAACTCTGCCCCGAAAGTTGTAGGAAGAACTATGAGGCCTCATGATGAAAGCCAAGATGATGTCCAAAGAAGCACGTAATGGCACTTATAGGATGGGAATCTCATGGATCCAAGATCATCAAAGCATTCTTCAAAACAAAGAAGCAGGTAGTCACAACAAATGTTATCCAATGTTATGCAACCACTAATGATAGCAACGACAACGATAAAGATCAGTTCTACTCGAGACTGCAACCGATCATAGAGAAGTACCCAGCAAAAGATCTCATCATCTTAATGGGAGATCTAAACGCCAAAGTCAGAATGGACAACACTAGTTATGAGAATATCATGGGACGACACGGACTGTGAGGGAGAGAGAGATGAAAATGGAGAGATTTGCAAATTTATGTGCATTCAACAAATTTGTTACAGGCGGCACAATATTCCCCCACAAATGCATACACAAAGCTACATGGGTCTCATCAGACAACAACACGGAGAATCAAATAGATCATATTTGCATCAGTAAAGAATTCCGAAGCATAATGGAAGATGTGAGAACTAGAAGAAGAGCTGACGTAGATTCAGCTCACCACATGGTTGTGGCTAAGATGAAACTAAGGCTAGAGAAACACCGGACAAGTGAGGGGAATAGCATCACAAATGGTCAATACAGCCTTCCTTCCACATACTGACAAACTCAATAAATTCGAGATAACGCTCCACAACAGGTCCCAAGCAGAAACTACTAGGGAGAACAACTAGAAAGGGACCAAATTAGTCAGTGTAGAGGCAGTCTCTGCATCATTAGGCCTCAACATGCACAAGGGAAAAAGCAAGATCCTAAAACACAACTCAGAGAACACTAACTCAAACACACGCGATGGAGAAACTCTGGAAGAGGTGGGATGTTTCACGTATCTGGGTAGTATCATGGATGAACGTTGAAGATCTGATGCATACACAAAGGCGAGGTTTGGCAAACTAAGGACAGCATCGCTACAGTTGAAGAACGTATGAAACTCAAAACGACTGTCAACCAATATCAGTCAGAATCTTGAATGGGAACATCAAAACAGTTCTACTGTACGGAGCTGGAACTTGGATAACTACCACGACCACCATCTAAAAGGTACACGTATTTATAGATAATTGTTTACGTAAGATACTCAGTGTCCGTTGGCCGGATACCATCAGCAGCAACCTTCTGTGAGAAAGAACAAACCAGGTTCCAGCTGAGGAGGAAATTGGGAAAAGGCGTTGGCGGTGAATAGGAAATACATTACGGGAATCACAAAACTGCATCACGATGCGAGCGCTAACTGGGAATCCTGAAGGGAAACGAAAAAACTGAAAGGCCAAAGACCTCACTGCATCAAAAATTTGATGCAGACATGCAAAGGATGAATAGCAACTGGGAACAATTGGAAAGGATTGTCCGGGACAGAGTTGGACGGAGAATGATGGTAGGCTGCCTATGCTCCTCCATGAGAAGTAACAAGCGCAAGTTAGTGATAAGTCTTGCGGATTTAACGCTATGTTCGTTTCCTAAGTTATTCTGTAACCCCTAAGCTAGAACTATACAGTGACCTGAACAACGAGAGAGAAGACGCAAAATATGCGAGAAGTACTTTACTCCAAGGTTCATTTCAATACAGAAAATACAGGGTTTTAATAATATTTTAAATGTCCTTGGGTTGCTAGAAGATTCTGGAATGCTACTAAACATTGTATCATCAGTTTAGCAATCAACCAATCAGAACCTCTGCATGTGACGTTTCACTTCCTTGATATTTTTGGCTAAAACTTCAAGTGAACGCTGATTGGATGAAACGCTTCTTAGTGTTTCCTGATGCTTGCTTGTCTTTTGCAAGAAATTTTCTGGATCACTCCAATAGTAAGTAAATAGAAAATACTTATTCGACTATTTTATTTTAATAAGATCCTCTCACATCGTACCCAATAGTTAGTGACTTTGAATGACATGGCTCGAAATCGTTTACAATGGCTCCAGTGCATTTTTTTGTTTTCCCTCAAATCCCGAATCTCTCAAAAAAATTTTTTTTGTTTTTACCTCTATCTTTTCGAACCGTATCTTCGATGCCTAACTTTTCCTATTCCCATTGATACTGTTACCACCTATACTATTCTGGTATTTAGCCTGGTAATTTCATCTTGATGTACTGATGGGGAATGGCAACTTGAGCCGATGTACATACGTTCTGGTTCTGTTTTTACTGACTGAACAGTCGATTGGACTTCAATCGAGATCTACTGTTGATATTTGACGTCTTATAACAAAGTATATAGTTATTTTGATTGTTTTAGCATTTAGCGAATTATCATTTGTTACCATACTAAATAATCACACAACCAGTTATAACTCAAACATACATAATCAGTAACGACTTTGTTGTAATTTTTGATTTAGATATCAAGTAAGACTAATAAATATGATGAAAGTGCAGCTAATTGGCACTTAATAATCACTAGATTTACGTTGTCGTTTAATTTCCATTATTTCTAATCAGTGTGTAATATCTCAATGTTTGGGTTCTACATTCTTATATGACAACTATTGACGTGTTTATTTATTCTCACTGAACTTTTTATTTTGAATAGTAATGTTGTTGCAGCGAAAATGATGGCTCGAATGGGATATCGAGAAGGACAAGGTCTAGGTAGAGAAAGTCAAGGAATGTCCACTGCATTAGTTGTTGAAAAAACTAGTCGACGTGGTGGCAAGATAATTCATGAAAAAGATCAACAACGTCAACAAATCCACGTCAATGCTTCTGCTGTTAATAATAATAATCTACCTAGTTATTTAAGTGCAAATGTAGAAGAGACATTCAATAATCTACCACTTCCAGAGAATCGAAGCTGTGTAAGTTATAGACATTCTTGTATCGAATGAATGTATCATTTAGTGAATAATTACAATTAATCCTCTAGGAAAATAAATTTCACTGCCTATTTTTCCTTGTTTAAGTGATAGTTACTTTCGAAATAGTAAATGTATCTACTGCTATTAAGTGAAACTATCTCCACGAGTAGCTCTGTCGATTTATTTTTAAAAACTTCGTATAACAGTTTTAAAAATAATTCTCTTACTTACCAAGATTTTAAGTCTGAGGTGTGTTGCTTTTGCTTTCATATTACACATTTAAAATATTAGAAAACACTTTATAGTTGAAAGTTAAATTTTTTCTAAACAAAATGTTTCAAGAATATGCAATATCAAGTATCAAGGTCGATGATAGTATAAAGTAGTTTCAACACTCTAATTTATTTTCTATCGTTTGGTGTTATTATTTTCATTTTGTCATTTTCCCCAGTACAATCTACTCATGTAAAATTCACCAAATACTGCACCGACTACCTGCCTTCAAATTAGTTGCTTTTTGTAGATCGACAAAGTATTTGTCCACATATTGGATTTTTCATGTTTCAATTTTGATATACATATTCAGTATAAATATTTTGTAAGGTTTTAGTAAAAATACAGTGGTAAAAGAAAACCTCCATGTTGCATAAATAAAACAATGTGTAACAACGTTTTCTTCACTTTCATTTTAACAACTGTTGGAATGAAAATATTTTCTTGTCTAAATTAGGTTTTTATTTTAAATGACCAGCAAAGATGAATATGAATTATACTTTATGTAAAGCAGTCGTAATCTGACTCCTTGATGTAGATATTTTGGAACTTGATATAAAACAGAGAAAGCTTCCTCTATTTTAATATGATGCTGTTTTGATGTTGTTTTTGTAATTTTAATGTTGTAGTTAGTTCTCGTTCGGTCTTTTCATTGAGGTCTTTACATGACGTACTTTCAATAATGCCCACCCAGCCATTCAATTCACCAGCGAGGAGGAGAAAAACAATAGTATAGCTTTTCTGGATGTCTTACTTTCTAGAAGGATAGATGGTTCCATAAAGCGAAATATATTTAGAAAGAGTACATAAACGGGTCAGTATACCCATTTCCAAAGCTTCACACCTCTTCAATATAAAATAAATTTGGTTAAGTGTCTCAACCACAAAATCAAGTTATTATGTTCTGAAGACAGTGTGAATGACGAAACAGATATACTAAGGAACACATTACAAAATAATGGCTATCCTGATAATTTCGTCAAAAAATACCTCGCACAAAATACTAATAAAAAAGAAGACATTGCGACACAGTCAGTAAAAAGACCTTATATCTGAGACTTGACTTTAAAGGGGACATAGCGGGTGATATTCTAACACGTCGACTCAAAAGATCTGTGGAAAGGACGTTTCATGCCGCCAAGTTACACATAATTTTCTCGACTAAACCAGTACTCACAACTAATCAAGGATAAGTTACCGAAGATGGGCTCCTCCATGTGTGTATACCTATTCAACTGCTCCTGTGGAGCTAGTTACATAGACCGTACTCAGGGGGCTTTATCCTTGCGTGTTCGTGAACATGTACCAGCTTGGTTGGGAAAAGAAGTTACCAACTCGATCAACAGCACCATTCTTTCTCACTTGGTTGACAGTGAGCATCATATTAAAATAGAGGAAGCTTTCTCTGTTTTATATCAAGTTCCAAAATATCTACCTCAAGGAGTCAGATTACGACTGCTTTGCATAGCCGAAGCCATCTGGATCAACTCCAGAAGACCTAATATATGTATCCCGAAATTTTTTTGACTTTACTTAACACATTCTAGTCACTGCTTCTAGTGTTACATTTTAATTATTTATTTTATGTAAAACATTTGGATGGTTGAATAATAAAGTTATTCATTTTTACATCTTTTACCTCTTATATTTGAGTAGTTCAAGTATAGTTTTTCTTTAACACAAATGGTTCTTACTCCGCATACGTAGAATCTACGGCTTTAAGATTATCTGTATTTCTGGTTTTTAGGTTATTCTTCTACGTAATATGTGTGGGCCAGGTGAAGTTGATGATGATCTAGAACCCGAAACAGCTGAAGAATGTGCTAAATATGGCAAGGTAGTAATGTGTATGATTTATGAATTGCCTGAAGCTCCAGATGATGAAGTAGTTCGTATTTTTGTGGAATTCGAATCTGAAGAAGCAGCAACGAAAGGTATGTGTTAATGTGCATATATTTTCTTGCAGAGTTGATTTCTCAGTATTCTGAAAAAGTGGTAGTTCCAGTCGTGTATCATTTTCCTGTCGTTTTTATTCATTCATATTCACGTAATGTATTAATTTGCGTACTATTTAACCAAGCATTTTTAAGAGAAAAAGATCTTAGGACTCATTAATTTCTGTAAAGTTCGAGCATGTTACCAATGTCTTTCTTTTTTATGTAAATAATTAGTTGCCATTTGAAGTCATTTTAAACAGCGAGTCCGCTTTTTGTTCGTGTCAAAATATTTTAGTGAGACACATCATTTAACCCATACAATCACTGATAAAATGTATAGTGGTACTAGTTTGTTGGAACATCGCTTTGATTTTGAATGATCTTAGCGATTAGTTTATAATCTCAATTAAAATCTCCGGCTGTTATGGCATCAACGAAAATTTTATTATACAATGCAGTTTATTCGCGAATTTCTTTGCCGCAATTAAATGTATATAAATTATAGATTATCACTGAGTTTGTAGAGATCGTTGAGTTCCAAATTCAACATCACAGATTGGTTTCAGTTACAGTACTGTTGGGAAGAAACAAGAAAGTACTGAACAGCTGTTTCTTACTTTTCCGTGATGGGCTTAGTTCCTGGATCTCTAGTGACTCCTGTGATCACAGGAGTTCAGCCGTGTCGGGCTGACACAAATTTCACCAACAGCAGCGGGTCGGGTGCGCGGAACATCACTAATCGACTTAAGTTGGAAGTGCAAATCGCTAGATACCAACTCAACGGTTTAAATCTTGGGCTTTCTCTGAAAGTCATGGATCCAGTACTTAGTAATGTTGAAAGCACACTACTGACTGGTCCAAAACTCGGACAAAATAGCTACTCAGGTTACCCTTGTTTGTAGTAGTTGCATAACTGAATTTTTAACTCAACTGATTTAAGACAACAGCAAGCTACACTTTTGAAAATAAATACGGCTTCTGATGTGATTCAAAATTTTCAAATCAAAGGCAGGCCCACAGATCCAGTCCTAAAATACACTTGTGTGAACTTATGAAGAGAATACATTTGAACCAACAAACTACTAGCTTAAAAAGTGAATTATCTTACTACTACGCAACCACTCCTACTTATGCAGCGTTGTCTAGCAGAAAGTTTTGTGGTTCTAATTTTTTACCATTGTCACTTTTCATATAATTCCCGCTTTTTCAATATTCATCGCTGGTTTATTTTTTTATAGCGGTACTCGATCTAAATGGCCGATTTTTCGCTGGACGTGTCGTGAAGGCTGGATTTTACGATGCAGAAAAATTCAGGAATTTGGAACTCGCCGATGCGCCATTGTCTACATAACTTTCCGTTTCATTATGCACAGTATATATAATTATTGTCTAATTATACATGTACAAGTGTTCTAATCGACTTCACAAAACACAGTATACAACACCCCGGATCGGAGAACTGATTAAATGCGGGTTTCTTAATACAGTACATTTGGTAATAACATATTCCTCCTAATTCTAAGTAGAAATAACAAGAGCACTTTCATATAGGGTTCAAAGGCCAGTCTCATACCTACTTTGAGCAAAACTCAGGATCTTGACAAACTGTTGGTAAAAGTTATGTTCGAACTGTAATAAACTACATTTTGACAAAGCTTTTAGTCATGAAATTTATTATTTGCATATTGTTCTTGTTACCAGTTTAGGAAAGATAATTTGCTGAGGATATAAATTGTAGCTGAGAATTGATTCAAAGTTTTTTATTTAGTTCTGCATAATTTTCTCATTAATCTTAGTATGTATTCTTATTCAAGCTGTTTATGTATTTAGGTGATTTACTTCAATATCCTTAGTGCATTCGGTAACTTATTTACGAAATATTATGCTCAACGAGGATCGGTTTGTGATTTTCTGACAAGCACTCAAGATTTGGTCCGCGAATTGCTACGACTTACGTTATTTATTTGAACACATAAATATTGGCACAAGAGGGTACCAAATATATATGCACCACACAAAACAATCAGAATGGGAAAAGAAAAAAGAACAATAACGACCAGATTAGCGTAGGGTAGTGTAATAATAATGGGGGAAACGGAAAGGTACAACCAGAAGAAATCTTTCAGTTAAAGAAGATACAACCACTTTTTATGAAGGAAGTAAAAGGTTACAGCAGGATCGCCACTGGCTTCTATTCTGAGCCATATCTGATAACGTCTCTAGCCACTGTGTCGCATCATCTCTCGGACCTCAGCCACCGAGTCTTGAAGGACCAACATAAGCCAGTCCTTTGCAGCTTTCTTTCATACCACGACACCATGTCATACACCGATCACCTATCCGCTTTTTCCGACCAGTCCCAGCGTCGGCAAATAATGCACGACGTGGAATTCTCTGGGACGACATTTGTAGAACATGTCCAAGCCACTGAAGTCGATGTTTCAAGATGGTGACACCAATTGAATTGTCATCTCTGTGCCCGAACACACGATGCCGAACCTTTGCATTACTGACATGGTGTTGCTGTAGTGAACAAAACACGGGTGGGAACAATCGGTCTTGTAGAAGTACTTTGCACTTCGAAGGTGCAAATCACATACCGTACTTACGGGCATTTTTTGCCAACTGATTAGGTGTGGATTGCATGGCTTGGTCATTATCGCACATTAAGGCAATATCATCCGCATACTCAAGGTCGAGAAGTCTTTCTCCAGGCAGCAGATCTACACCGCTATTACTTACACCCATCAGAGCTGTTTCCAGAATGTCAACGATGGCGAAGTTGGAGAGGAATGATGAGATTGGGCGACCCTGTATAACCCTACTGCTTGGATGGAACAATGGAGAAAGGTGGTTGTATGCCCTCACTCTGCCTGAAGTGTTTGTATATAGGGCTTTTAGGATGTTAATACAGTTATCAGACACACCCTTCTTCAATAAACAATCCCAGAGAACAGACCTGTCCAACGAATCGAACGCAGCCCTGATGTGAAAAAGCATTACGATTATTGGCCTGTGATGAGTATGACGGTGTTCTAACATTTGTTGGAGGGTGAATATATGACCAATACATCCTCGACCAGGACGAAACCCAGCCTGCTCCTCGCGAGTCAATCTTTGTCTGGTTTTGAACAACCTACGAAGTATGACAGAAGCCAATAGCTTGGACCCAATCAAAAGTAGACTTTTCCCCCGATAGTTGTTACAGGAACGATGTGAACCCTTTTTAAAGATAGGGACAACTATCGACTCGTTCCATGACGTTGGTACACTCTCTAGTTCCCATACCTTTGTAAACAACGTCGTCATTCAGAAAGTCATCACCATCTTTAAAAAGGGCCGGAGGTAAGTCATCTGGGCCCGGTGATTTGTAGCGCTCCAAGAGTTGGAGTTCCTTGTGGACTTCCGCCCCATTTTATGGATCAGTCGTCACCGGCCATGGAGGGCAGGACAGTCTGACTGATGTTGCCGGAGCAGCAGGCCAGTTGAACTGCACTTCGAAAAATTCTGCCCATCGTCCAAGACGTCGATGGATGTTAGTGATTGGCATCCCATCATCCTCGCAGATTGTTTCACTCACACCAGACTTCTTGCTGCCAGTGGCTCGGATGAGCTGGAAGAGCTTCCGGTAATTACCAGATGCAGCTGCTGCCTCCAGCTCATTAGCACGCTCCGACCACCAGGTTTGTCGGTCTTTACACAAACTTCGCCCAATTTCATTACGTAAAAGTCGTCGTTTGTGGTCAAACTCACGGGCACCCGGAGTAGACCGACGGGATGCAATGAGTTGTAAGGAACCTGAAGAAACCCAGCGCTTATAAGCGGGATGTTTCGCGATTTTCATGGCGTCATGCAATTGCAACCAATGCTCATCTATACTTCTCAGTGGAATGGTAGCTAGCTCGGTTCGATACTTAATTGCAACCAACTTGCTGACATCAATCCTTTTGTGGCGGTCACTTAGTTGGCCACTGAAAAGTAAGGCAAGATTGGCGCAGACCAGGGCATGATCAGAGTCCAGATAGGTACTCCAAAAGGAACGGTAGCTGATCGCGATGTGATCAATCTGAGTCCAAACTTGAGATGAAGAGGGAGGACGTCAGGTGGTACATCAGCGATGACTGTACCGGAAGGTAGTGCTAGCCCGAAACAGGTTGTGGTTTGTGCACAGTTGCAGTAGACGGTCATCGCTATCTTTCCTGCAACCAACAAGTCCCCATCGGCCACCTGAACGACTCTCTTCTGTGCCCAGACGCCCGACCTGAGCATTCAAGTCTCCGGCTAGTACTACAATATCTGTTGGGTTCGCTTTCTGAAGGAGAACAGTTAACTGGTGGCAGAATTCATCCTTGATTGCATCCGGGTTGCAATCTGTCGGGGCATAGGCGATGACGAAAAGACATCGTTCTTCACGCCGATTTCTTCTCACTTTGGTGGAACTTTCTAATCTAACAGCACATAACCAACTGTTAATGGGGATCCAATCGATTAGTGCTGCCTCAGCTCTAGCGCTTAGTGCGACATCAACGCCAGCAAGACTAGACGAAGATGCCACAGGGTTACCGTTTAAACGTATGTAAAACAAGCTTTTTGAAGCGACAGACGAAAAGCGATTTTGTAGTACTTCATCAGATTCTTGAATACGGGTCTCTGATAGACAACAAACGTCGATATTAAGACTTTCTAAAGACATAGTCAACCCTATCTATTGTCCGACCTGCATAAGTGTGCAAACGTTGAAGGCAGCCAGTTTGTTTCAGAAAAACTGCCTCAGTATTCGCACTTGGTGGTAGCATACAATTTTCAGTGACTCGAGAACGTTTAGATAGAACCGAGTTTCCACCATAGGCGAGCTGCTGCATGAGTCGAAAAATAAGGATACGTAAAGTGGAAATAAAAGAGTGAGTAAATGACGTAGTAAATAATAATGTGAATTGCTTGATTGTAAATCGAAGCGAGAATATAATTCTCAGTAAATATCGTCATTTTATTTGTGTGTGGGCTGTGATACTGCCCCGACGCCCAGACCGAATCAGGTGGTTTTCTTAGGGAACCACACCGCGAGCTTTTGTCCTTAAGGTCTGACCCACAAGTCAGTAAAGCATCGTGAGGAGATGCAGCCCAATGGTAGCCGGTTACCAACGATTGGTTCATACGCCATTTGTTTACTCAGGATACTGGAGCCCATGTGCACCATTAGTTTGGGACCAGGTTAAAGCGCCGTACATTCGCTTCTCGTTCTCTCATTTTCGTAGACAACATCCCTGCCACGAAGGCAGTGAGTAGGACTTCCCTGGCAGATGCTATATACGCGTGACCATGTGAGAGCATTTCGAGAGGGAGGGCGGGCCCATCCTACTCTCGGTCATGTGAAAGCAATTACGTCGTTTGTCGCAGTTACTGAAAACATTGCGATGGAATATCAAATCCTGACCTAACTACACGAAAGTCTATAGTCCTTAAAGCTTTTTTTTAGCTTGTGCTTGCACTTGGTCTAGTTAAAGGACGCACAGTCAAACATATTAACTTCTACACATGCGCTCATTATGCTTCATTCATCGAGGTTACACACATTAATGAAATACTCAAATATTATATTTTGTTAAAAATAAAATACAAGTATAAAAAAGCTGGACAAAAACATGAATATTGCTACATGGTGCTACAAAAACGTGAGCTTGTCATGGGTTGCAGAACAGGAGTTCCTGAGACTTTATTTTCTGTCCCATTCTGCGAGGAACCAGTGGACGGATTATTGTTGTTCAATATGTCAGGTATTCCATTACTTTCGACTATTAAAGCAAGATGTGTACCATTCTCCTTTATTTGATTCACATCAGCAACAGATTTACGACCTTTCGGTTTCAAAAGGAGGTTATCCAACTTGACATTTGTTTCTTCAAATGCTTGTCGTGTACCAGCACTTCTAAGCCTTGCAGAGATAGGTGGAGTAATTACTTCTACAACCTGTTTTCTTGTTGATCGATGAAGTGCCTTCTCTCCTTTTAGTACACTGCGGACTTGTTTTCTGAAAAAACCATGATTTAAGCTGGATGCTTACCGATTTTGTTTAGAGACCGTGGATTTGCGAGCAATACGTCCTTCCTCAGCTGGCATTGTAAAGGAGTATTTTACGAGCTACGTCAATCGACTGTCATTCTGCAAAATAAAAACATTTTTTTCCTTCAGAACAGTTAACCTTGATAGAACACTGAGAATTTTTAAAGTTCGCAGCTTGTATCTGAGTAAATCTAAGCTATACTTAGTAATAATTGCTTAGTCTTAAATATTTGTTTATTTTTAAAACTAACTGATTACTGTTACACATGTAGCGAGAGACAGTTATTGACGTATTTGACGAACCAATCTGCAGTTTTTAAAAAGTGCACATATAAAAAGTCGTACCATGGTGAGAACAAAGCATCTAAAAACATATATAATATAAATTCAACTAATACAGTCTTAAGTATTTATGCGCTTCTCAGTTTCCTCAGCCTTATTCTTTCATAGTAATAAACGTAACATCGCTTTACAGCAAAGAAGTACTTCAGTATTTGGATCCCTTAAGTCTCAGACAATATTCTGAAGATTGCTGAACAGTAAGTTCGTAATGATTTTTGTTATAGTAGCTCAAAGCCAAGAATGTGAACTGCTTGAATAGCTACGGTAAACCAAGTTCGGCAAAAGCAAAGGACTTTTTACAAAAATAAGGCCTTCGTACTGAGTACTTACAATGTTAGATTTTAGACAGTCGCTCATGCTACAAATGATCTTTATCATAGTAACGAGTGCCATATATTTTGTCTACCACGGGGATCAAACCACTTGGTTAAGAGTATGGCACGTTACATAGGGATTTAGTGAAATATTTTATTTATAGATATTGGTACAAATAGGCACAAAATACATATGCGCCACACAAATCTCATTCGATATGTGTGAGGGCGGTGATACTGCCCGGGTTCCCGAACCGAAGCAGGTGGTTTCCTTAAGGGTTAATGCTAAGTTCTATTTTTGGGGGAACTGAAATTTTGTCGTTCCACATGTTTCTATCACTGACGTATGTTAAAGTACTGCTTCAAGATGCAACAAGTGACTACTTAAGTCATTTGACGCTCGGGCTAGCAAAAATTCTACGCGTTTCTTTAATAAAATAACGTAAAATTCTGATTATCTGTAAAGATGAAACTATTGATTCTACCTATTTCAGTTTGCTGAAAATATATAAAACCTAACTTCTCAAAGTTTCCTGCATGAAAAGTTTAAATAGATCAACGGCCTAACGGATATATCCGAGTGCTTTGTTCGACCTATTTTGAGGCGGTAAGTATAAACGTTCTTCATTTCATATAATTCATTTGGTACATATAGCAACCGACCTCTCAGCTAAATTTATGTACCCTATTTCTGTTAATAGATCTCAACACTTGGTGGGAGAGATTCTTCATCGGACTTATCATTGTAAGTCGTATACCCTAAATGCTTTAATATGCACCTATAAATCTGTAAATTCCCAAGCTCCTAATTTTGGGGAAATTTTGGCCCATTTTGCGGAAGCCGCTATAGTAAATTTTGGGGGAATGAGACTTTAACCCCAAAATTTCCACAAACATTGGGGAAGTTTCCCCAAAATACTCCGAACGTTGCGGTTTTTCCTGCAATACTTATTTAACGCAAAACCTCTACAAAAATCTTTAGATATCACGAAAGAACTAGCGAGAATGCTAACGTACATTTCTTACTGGGATGTTTTATTACTTTTCGTCAATCGCGCATTGCTAAAGAAACTTAATGTTAACCGATTTATCACGATTATTAAGACTGATTTATGACATATATAAATGTTTATTACAGTTAATAAAATTACAAATGATTCATTTATACAAAGTGTTCCATTGCGTTGTAACAGCAACACCTTACGTAGATGTAGAACTGTCATTGATAATGTTCTAAAAAATAAAAAAAATAATTTAGTGTATAGTAAAGTGTCAAGATATGTTAAAGGTCGATGATGTACCAACAGTATGACAATGCTGTTAATAATGCGAACGAAGAACTTACAGTTACGTCTGATAAAGCCTGCGAAGCCAGCTGAAAGGAAAACGGACAAGACAAAAGTTGTATCAGTTTAAATATTGATCACAAAGTAATATTGAAAGTGCAATATGTATTATAACAAACATGTTAAGTGGTTTTAGCTCACCCTTTCTTTGGATCGCCATCCACGTTTATGTACTTTATCTCTTGCGTCATGCAAGAAAGCCTGGCTTGTAGCCATGGCGTGTATTATTTCCTTTTCCGAGCAGCTTGCTCTTCGGAAACGTGAACACAAAACACCTACAAATATGTTAATGCAGTAATGTGTACTTACTTTGAACCGTCGAGTAAAATTTGTACTTACTAATACCAAATTTACTTCTGGTTCCGTGCAAAGTGTAAGTGTTCGCCAGTTCCGGCGAAAGGAGGTATTGCAGACAGGCTTTCGCTGATTTCCGAGGATCCTCACGTAGTAGGTGGTATAATCTTTCCACCTAAAATTTGTTCAAGCACCTGTTACAACTTACGAAACGATCCCGGAAATTTTGGTTTTCTAAAGGAGCCTCTAAAGAAAGCAACTCCTCATGTGTTCTTAATGGGAAAGTGATAGCATCACTATCCTTTTCTTCCATACGCCTGTCACTTACACCCATGGCTAAGCGTTCACATACAGCGATCACTTTATCCATCTTGTTAGACAGTTCAGTGACCGCTTTCAGGATAATTCTGAACATTTGATTTGTATCATCGCACAAACGTTTGTTATCAGAAATACAGTAAATGCAACTTACCGTTTATTAACTTCCGTAGACGTACGTAGAAGTGGTGGTGATGATACATCAGCATTTGATGAACTGCTATGAGTAATGATAAAGTAGGTACAAACCTCGCAATAGGCGAAAAGTTTTCTGTCAAAATGTTGACAACTGGAAATTCCACCGGGGCAAATCCAGCTTCAACCTCAGCAACCTCTAGTTCTTCAGAGGTGCATAGATAATCCTTGTGCTTTCGTTTGACAGTCCTAACACAAATGATATAATAAGTTGAACAGTTTACCTTTTCGGCTTTTCAGCTTCACAGGGCTGTTTCATCGTTTCTACTAAGGTTATTATTATTGTAGCCCAATGCTTTTGTTAAACACACTTTGATTTGCTGGGCAACACTGTAGTTGTCTAAAAGCAATAAATGTAAATTAATTACAGCTTACCACAACGATGCATAACGGTGCATTTTCTGACGCAGAATCGGCTACCAAAATCGACACCCTCAACAATGTCCTGCTCACTAACATCATCTCGATAAACGTAATGATCGTTGTTCAGGAGCCATTTGTTCTCCTTATCGTCAACTAAGATGTACTTTCCACTTTGATACTGTAAATGAATGCGCAGGCGTGAAAAATTGTAAATTTATTGCATTGATGAAAATTCACTAACACTTCCTGATGGAGGACGCAAAATCACTAACCAACAGACTCTTACTAGTTAAAGTGCTATAGGCGACAGGCATTGAGAAATGATGTCAATTTGCCTATTAGAATGTATGCAAAGGGGGATAATAACTTCATATTTTGGTGTCCTTATACAAATGCATCTACAAAGTAAGTCTGTGACCGTAATCCACGTACACTTGTGGCTTAAGGTAGTATACTTAAATATACCGATGTTACCGGATGGAAAAGGGTCCGTATATAAATCTGAAGGGTCAAGGAATGCTCGAAACCTAATTCTGCCTCCATCACCTATTTCTTTTGACAGTGTTCAGTTTTACATTAATAACTTCTCATTAGGTTACAAAAGGTGTTACGCTACCGAACACTTAATCTACAATGTGCATAGTTTAAAGCACATTGCAGACGACATTATGGAACATGATAGTTTAGAATCGTTCTCTGCATTTCCTTTTCAGTTTTACATGGGGGAAATTAGGCGTTCAGTACACTGCGGATTTGCTGCGGCTAAACAAGACGCACAGCGATATGCCGAAAAAGTTTACTTTCACAGTGTATTGAATCGGGATATGGCTGACAATTTCACTGAGTCTGAGCTAACTCAGGATTCTTTCAAGAAGACCATGAGTTACAGAAACTCAAAGCTATCAGCCACAAGGCCGGACAATGTAGTTATTGCAAAAGGTAGACCAAGGTTCGTAACAGAAATAGGTGATGGAGGCAGAATTAGGTTTCGAGCATTCCTTGACCCTTCAGATTTATATACGGACCCTTTTCCATCCGGTAACATCGGTATATTTAAGTATACTACCTTAAGCCACAAGTGTACGTGGATTACGGTCACAGACTTACTTTGTAGATGCATTTGTATAAGGACACCAAAATATGAAGTTATTATCCCCCTTTGCATACATTCTAATAGGCAAATTGACATCATTTCTCAATGCCTGTCGCCTATAGCACTTTAACTAGTAAGAGTCTGTTGGTTAGTGATTTTGCGTCCTCCATCAGGAAGTGTTAGTGAATTTTCATCAATGCAATAAATTTACAATTTTTCACGCCTGCGCATTCATTTACAGTATCAAAGTGGAAAGTACATCTTAGTTGACGATAAGGAGAACAAATGGCTCCTGAACAACGATCATTACGTTTATCGAGATGATGTTAGTGAGCAGGACATTGTTGAGGGTGTCGATTTTGGTAGCCGATTCTGCGTCAGAAAATGCACCGTTATGCATCGTTGTGGTAAGCTGTAATTAATTTACATTTATTGCTTTTAGACAACTACAGTGTTGCCCAGCAAATCAAAGTGTGTTTAACAAAAGCATTGGGCTACAATAATAATAACCTTAGTAGAAACGATGAAACAGCCCTGTGAAGCTGAAAAGCCGAAAAGGTAAACTGTTCAACTTATTATATCATTTGTGTTAGGACTGTCAAACGAAAGCACAAGGATTATCTATGCACCTCTGAAGAACTAGAGGTTGCTGAGGTTGAAGCTGGATTTGCCCCGGTGGAATTTCCAGTTGTCAACATTTTGACAGAAAACTTTTCGCCTATTGCGAGGTTTGTACCTACTTTATCATTACTCATAGCAGTTCATCAAATGCTGATGTATCATCACCACCACTTCTACGTACGTCTACGGAAGTTAATAAACGGTAAGTTGCATTTACTGTATTTCTGATAACAAACGTTTGTGCGATGATACAAATCAAATGTTCAGAATTATCCTGAAAGCGGTCACTGAACTGTCTAACAAGATGGATAAAGTGATCGCTGTATGTGAACGCTTAGCCATGGGTGTAAGTGACAGGCGTATGGAAGAAAAGGATAGTGATGCTATCACTTTCCCATTAAGAACACATGAGGAGTTGCTTTCTTTAGAGGCTCCTTTAGAAAACCAAAATTTCCGGGATCGTTTCGTAAGTTGT